TGCATTTCTGGGCCTGGGCCTGTTGGCTGGGGCAGGGACGGGGATGGCATGTGTGTGTTGGAGGCATTTGGGCTCAGTAGAGTTCTGAAGAATATGGTTTGTCCTCTTAATGTAGGACACCCTCTGTAATTATGATCTTTCAGCCACAACTCGGTGGCCAGCATTTTGGCATTCATTAGCTCCTCTGTCTTTATCAGGAGGTATTTTTAGCTCTGCTTCACAGGTGTGGAGACAGAAGTGACGGTACTCGCCCAAGGTCACAGCCATTGTTCAAAGGTTGTCCACCCAACACCTACTTTTGCTCTTCCTTAGAGCCCACTTGAGCTCTTTTGGCCATTTCTACCCCCAAAATCACACCATGGTGAGCCTCCAGAGTGAAAAGCCGAGCTGCCTTGAGAGGGAGGGTTCGTTCTTAGGGCAGGACAGTGATGGCTGAGGGCCGGTGAGGTAGGCTGCTTGGAGGAGCCTGGGTCTGCGCCCTTGTGGGTTCACTGAGGGACATCATGGTCACGGACTGGATTTCTTGCCATCCTTCCTTTGCTGTGTGTCCTTGCCCTCGGACTGGGCAGCAATGAAGGGCTGGCTTTCAGGCAGCCTGTTTTATGGAGGCTTCATGTCTGAGGAGTTCCTGAAGCTGTGAGAGCCCTGGGGCAGGGCCCTGAGTGAGAGTAGGCATCCCTTTAAGCTGATGATAAGAAAAGGTCTCCAGCTGCACAAACCCAAACTGTGGCCTTAGTCTGGTCCACCCACCAGGTCCTACAGGGCTCTCTGCTGCAGGTGAAAAGGTGGATTTATTGCCATAGGAAAGTGGTCTCAGCTCCTTTTTAAAAAGGTCATCAGGCGTGCTCTTTTAGTTTCCCCTCTAGTGTACTTTGTTTGAACTCTGTTCATTCTTATTCTAAATGAGCTTCCTTCATGGGGATGGATGGGAAAGTGCGCCTGAGGGAGGGAGGGTGCGTGGGTGGGTGGAAATCAGTCTGCTGTTGGTGTGGCTGTAGATGGCTCCTGGCTTGCATTGACCTGCCTCCTGGAGAAGAGTGTCCCTGTCTATCTGTCTGTCACAGCTCCAGTGTAGAAAATGGAAAGGCTTTGATGGCCCAGCCCTGTAGTATAGGGAGTTGGGATCAGTACATTGGATTATACTGAGAGAAGAAACTTTCTCAGAGGAAGGGAGGAAAGGGGTGTCCATGCTCAGAGGCAGAAAAGAAGGACCGCTGGCAGTTTCTGTACATACCACATCCAGAGCTTGCCTCCTCTGGAAGGAGGCCCTGCCTGGCTCACCCTGTCCCCTGCTTGTCTTCTAGGCCATCCCCTGCTGCTGGACGCTCTGGTGTCAGGATACCTGTGGCTCTCGTTTCTGACACCACACTCAGTGCGGCCTGTCTGCTTGCTGGACAGTCTGAGTCCTGTGTTGTCCCTTCTCAGTCCCAGCCCGCAGACCTCCTTGGCACAGCTGCCAGCCCCTGCCACCTGTATTGGGCTCTGGCTGAGAGCCATACTTCTCAGCCTCATTTCCCCCAATACTAGGGCAGTTTCTGAGGCTCATGCATCTCCTAAGTGCCTGCTTTTTCTTCGGCCAAGAGCAGTCCCCTCACCTGTCCTCAGGGCCCATGCAGTTTCACCTCTCCTGAGCAGCTGTCATCATGCTTCCAGCTAAGGCTTCCCTTTTTCTGAATTCCTAGAGACTTTAGATTCAGAGCCATCCCTGGTGTGACTGAAGTTTTATTTATATATACATAAATATAAAAATATAAATATTATATATATGTTGTTGTTGTTATGTGCCGTCGAGTCGCTTGCGACTCATAGCGACCCTATGTACAACAGCCCTAAACCCTGCTCTATCCTGTGCCAATCTCACTGCCTCTGACACATCCATCCTGATTACCCCAGTCACTGAATCAGTCCACCTCATAGAGGGTCTTCCCCTCCTGCGCTGTCCCTCTACTCTACCCAGCATGATGTCCCTCTCTAAAGACCTGTCTCTCCTTACAACATGTCCAAAGTATGTTAGGCGAAGCCCCAGAATCCTTGCCTCCAAGGAGCAGCCTCGTTTAACCCTCTCTAGGATGAATCTGTTTGTTTTCTTGGCAGTCCATGGTACATTCAATACTCTTCTCCAGCACCACAGCTCAAAGGCGTCAATTCTCCTTCTATCCTCCCTAGTCATTGTCCAACTCTCTGATGCATAACAAGTGATTGCAAAAACCATGGCCTGTATCCTTCTTCCTAGTCTGTTTTAATCTGAATGTTTAGACTTAAAGGAGTCTCTGACAGACAAAATATATATATATGGAGCTCTGGTGGCCTAGTGCAAGAAACTGTGCTGCAAGGTTTGAGGCCACCAGCTGCTCCGTGCGAGGATGGGCAGTCTCCTCCCGTTGTGACGAACTGCTTCTGAAAACCCGCTGGAAGATCAGCTATGGGTCCCTTCCGACTCTATGATACATAACAACAACAACAATAACATATATATTTTTTTTCTCTTTTTTTCACTCACTCACTTGTTCTGAAATCTGTCATTAGAAACTACTGTCATCGTTAAGTGTCGTCAGGTAAGGTCCGAGTCATCGTGACCTGTGTGCAGCGGGATCCCCACGGTCACTGCCCCGTGTGAGCCCATTGTATGGAGTCACTGTTGCCGGCCTGGGTTAAGGGTCTTTGTCTTTTTTTGCTGACCCATTATGTGGTCTGTTGTATATGTTGTGTGGGGCCTGTCTTCATCAATGTTAGGAGACAGAGGGCAAGTGCTTACCTTCCCCAGGGGTCTGTCCTACATTGCGGGGCTTCTCCAAACAGCAGCTTGCCTCTGGATCTCTCCTAATGCAAAATCTGTGAGGCCCTCACTCGTCTGCACTGGAGGCTCTGTGGGTACCAAGTATCAGGAATGCATCTCACTCCTGCCTGTAAAAGGCCTTGGCTTGATCTCCTCAGGACTCTGCACCTTACCTCCCCTGCTACCAGGGGACAGATGGTGACAGAGTCCAGGTTTCTGCATCCAAACTTGGCTTCCCTCACCCAGCACTGCCTGTGCTGGTGACAAAGCTCTTGCCCTGGGATGCGCCCAGGGAAGCCTGAAGGTGGTCCCTGGTCCCAGCGTGCCCCTCCATTCCCTGGACCCAGTGTGCCCCTCCATTCCTGTAAGGTCTCCGATTTGGTCTTCCAGGGCTTATTAGCTGTTTTTCTCTTCCTTGGGCCTTACCCTCAGCAGATTGGAAGTCTTTCTGGGGGCTGTGAGTGATGCTGCTCGTCGGTGATGCTCTTTAAGGTGGCTTCACCCTCCCTCCTTCTTTGGGAAACAGCATTTGACATCTTCATGAATTTCTCAGCGTGGTTGTTGTCTTTTCCTAGCCCCTGCCTGTCTTGGGTGAGTGTTTCTTGGGCACATGATGGCAGAGACAGCCCTAATTAGCTCAGGCTTTGATGAAGCAGCTGCTTTTCTCAACTCACTGGAGCAGGGGGCAGGGGGTGCATCGTAACTCACAGCCTCCTGCGTGCACCCACCTGGCTGTTGAGAGAGCCGCTGGCCTCCCTGCCCCAGAGGCCAGCCTGTCTCCAGAAAGCACCTCAAGCTTGATGGTGGAGTTGCAGCAGGACAGACTGGCACCCCTGTGCTTCCTTCCTGGGTACAGAGAGAAGAAAGAGGCTCTCATATTTCCAGCAGGAGTGCTGTGGCTTCGAGTACTCCTTTTTTGATCATTGTCTCCAGTACTTGATTGGAGCAGATTGACCTAGGCCCTTGCCATTCCATCCTGCCAGCTTTTCTGGATTTTTAACTGCAAGGCCTCCCCTGTGGACAGCAGCACAGGGTGTAATGGCTTTTTCACTGCCTTTCCTTTTCTGGGTTTCTGATTTGATCCTGTCCCTGTGGTCTCTCTTTATCTCTCCTCACCTGTCTTAATCTCCAGAATGCTGTGAGGACATCCTGCCAAGGTCAGGGTTTAGAAGAAGCAAGCACTTCTTGAGTCTCTAGAGAGCTTGTAGCCTGGCTCTCTAGCCTTGACCTTGGTTTCCCCTGGGACGTGAGCACATGGGGTCCTCAGTTTGGCAGCTGCCTCTTTCTTAATTGAGCACTAGTTTGCATTTTCAAGTGAGGAGCCAGCTAAAAGGTATCCACTCGGGTTTGGAGCCGCATCCTCTGCCTGACCTCCTGCCTTAATGGAGGTCATTCCCTCCACATTCCCCCATCCTTTCACTGGGAAGGAGGTTGAGGCCCCAAGTGTTTGTTTTGATCTTATCACTGTTTCTCCAGCCCCAAAAGGAAGAATTCCAGAAGCATCCCTGGTTTTCTCTTTATTGGTTCATTCCTGGTTCTGCAGGCTGTGTGCCACATGCTGAGGACGTGGAGATAGAGAAAGCTGCAGGAGCTACTCTTGTCTCCTGGAGTTGGGCCCATGTTAGAATTACTCTCCTGGAGTTGGGCCCATGTTAGAATTACTCGGGTCGTCAGAGACCCGGGCCTGACTCTTTCTTCCTGCACTCCTCCCACACTGTTTACTGGGTGCCATCTGTGTGCCAGTCCTGAAGATCTTCCCAGGATCCCTCCCCCTGCCCTTAAGTAACCTGGCAGCCCAGATCAAGCAGAGCCATTAGTAAAAGGCTGCGGTGTCTGAGATCCTGGAAGAGGGAGCATCCTGCACTGAGTTGGAGACATGTCAGGGAAGATCCCCACATGAGGGACCTGAAGAAACCCTTTTGGCATCAGACGGATCTTTCCACGGTGATGCTAACTTACCTTCCCTGATCTACCCCAGGAATCAGGGATCTCCAGCCGCTGGAGTGCCATGGGCCACTGACCCAGGGTGTCCACACCAGTTGGCCTTTGTTTCTAGAGCTAAGACCTAGCTTATTCAGATGGGACCATCCCTGTGTCTTTGGTGTCTTCCCACAGTGGTTGGTGTGGTGTCAGCTCGCTTACCACCACCTGCTGGGCTGGAAGCTGGAAGCTCCTGAACCAGCGAGCAGGTGCATGATCATGGTGCCTGTGCTTCCTCCTCTAGCAACCCAAAGGTCCAAGTGGAGGCCGTTGAAGGAGGAGCCCTGCAAAAGCTGCTGGTCATCTTGGCCACTGAGCAGCCTCTCGCCACCAAGAAGAAGGTATGTTTGTCTCGCCTACTTCCTCCCAGCCCCCTGCAAACCTATGAAGGGAAGCAGTCAGTCTCTGTGGCAGTGCATGCCACCTCTGAAGTCTGACGGTGGTGGAGTGAGTGGAGGCCAGGATCAGAGGAGGGGACATGGCAGTAGGCCAGGTGTCCCTGGTCTGGGCTCAGCTGCAGGGTGCAGGGTGTCCTCTCATGCATGCTTCCTGTCCTGGGCCCTCATTCATCACCCTTTGTCTACTGGGTGTTGTTGAGGGTGTCTTAGTCTCTCCTGGCACTCACAGGAGGGTCTGAACCGGTGTATGGCAGGACTGGGGGTGTCGGGCAGGTACTACGGGTGCCGGGTTGATACCAGCTTTTGGGTAGGTACCGGGGTTTAGGGGGTACTAGGGGTGTGAGAGCTCTGATGGCCTAGCGGTAAGAGTCTGCACTTCACGCAGTTCAAATCCACCAGCTGCTCCACAGGAGAAAGATGGACAGTCTCCTCCCATGCAATTAAGTGCCTCTGAAAACCTGCTGAAGGGTCAGCTATGGGTCAGTTCCGACTCGATGGCACACAACAACAAAGGGTGTGGGGCAGGTACTGGGGGTGTTGGGCAAGTACCAGGGTTCTTTGTTACAGGGGTGTTGGAGGGGTACCAAGAGTAGTAGGAGTACCAGTGATGTTGGAAATGGAGTCCCAGGGGTGTTGGGCAAGAACTGGGGCTGTTGAATGGGAGCTAGGGGTGTTGAGATGTTGGGCAGGTACTGGGGTGGTGGGCAGGTGCTAAGGAGTGTTAGAGGGGCACCAAGGCTATTGAGGGGTACTAAGGTGTGTTAAAGGGGTACCAAGGCTGTTGAGGGGTTCTGAGGAGTGTTAGAAGGATACCAGAGGTGTTGGGCAGGAACTGGGGCTGTTTGGTGGGAGCCGAGGCTATTGAGATATTGGGCAGGTACTGGGGGTATTGGGCAGGTACTGGGGTGTTGAGGGGTCTTGAAGAGTGTTGGGGTACCAGGAGTGTTGAGGGGTCCTGAGGAGTGTTAGGGTACGAGGGGTGTTGAGGGGTACTGGGAGTGTTGGGGTACCAGGGGTGTTGAGGGGTCCTGAGGAGTGTTGGGGTACGAGGTGTGTTGAGGGGTCTTGAAGAGTGTTGGGGGTACTAGGGGTGTTGAGGGGTCCTGAGGAGGGTTGGAGTACCAGGGGTGTTGAGGGGTCCTGAGGAGTGTTGGGGTACCAGGGGTGTTGAGGGGTCCTGAGGAGGGTTGGGGTACCAGGGGTGTTGAGGGGTTCTGAGGAGTGTTTGGGGTACCAGGGGTGTTGAGGGGTCCTGAGGAGTGTTGGGGGTACCAGGGGTGTTGAGGGGTCTTGAAGAGTGTTGGGGGTACTAGGGGTGTTGAGAGGTCCTGAGGAGGGTTGGGGTACCAGGGGTGTTGAGGGGTCCTGAGGAGGGTTGGGGTACCAGGGGTGTTGAGGAGTCCTGAGGAGTGTTGGGGTACCAGGGGTGTTGAGGGGTCCTGAGGAGTGTTGGGGTACCAGGGGTGTTGAGGAGTCCTGAGGAGTGTTGGGGGTACCAGGGGTGTTGAGGGGTCCTGAGGAGTGTTGGGGTACCAGGGGTGTTGAGAGGTAGTGGGAGTGTTGGTTGCTGCTGGGTGGGATCTTCGGGGCGCTTCCAGCGGCCTTTTCTGGCGCTCTGTGCCTCCAGGTGCTGTTTGCCCTCTGCTCCTTGCTGCGGCACTTCCCCTACGCCCAGCAGCACTTCCTAAAGCTGGGGGGGCTGCAGGCGCTGAGGAGCCTCGTGCAGGAGAAGGCCACTGAGGTGCTGGCTGTGCGCGTGGTCACGCTGCTCTACGACCTGGTCACCGAGAAGGTGAGCGCTCGACCTGCCCTTCCTGCCCCTCGCTGCCTTGCTTGTTTTTCTGCGCATTTCACTGTGATTCCCCCCTTAGTCTCTTCTCTCGTCCACCTGTCCATCCATCCTTGTAACTGAGTATCCTGAGTGACTGTGGCAGGTGGGCTGGCAGGCAGGGTAACTCGGAGTACCTGAGGACTGGTCAGGAGGGGCCAGGCCTGGCTGGTGGGTTGTTCCTGGTAGTGGTCAGGAAAAACTGTGCAGACCTAGCGCTCAGCAAGACTAAAGGCCAGAAACAGCCAGGATCAGGCCCGTCTTGGAGATGGGAGGTCGTGTGACTGACACAGCCAATGGGGTGGTGAGAGCAGGTGGATGGAGCAGCTGAGTCTGGGAGACACTTCAGGGCTTTAGGCCATCGCAGCGGCCTGGGCCACGGGGGACAAGGCTGGAATGGTTCTTACTCTGGAGTCTAGAAACCAAGGGAAGCCTCCATGGGAACTCTGGCTCCAGGCAGAGGCTCCGACTGGCTGCCCTCAAGGAGCCCAGGGACCTCAGTAGCCTGACAGCTTCTAGGAGACTTGGTGACCAGCCTGCTTTAGTCGTTGCAATCCTGAGCAGCATTGTAATTAAGAAGGGAAAAGTGAAGCTAGCCAGGCATGGACTCTGACTCTGCTTCTGCAGAAAGTGCTGTCCAGGCCCTCGTTGCCCATTGCTGGCCACTCTCCACAGAGCTGCACATGCTGGTTGGGAGAGCCAGCTGGCAGCACTGGGTCTGTGCTGAGTGTGGGGGCCTCCTCGGCTCTGTGCAGCCTCCACCTGGCAGCTCCCCTCCCAGAACAGAGGTCTGTCTCTGTCTGTCATTTGCTCTCTGCTCTTCTGTCTCTGTCTCTCTTTGTCTGTCTTGTCTCTCAGTCTGTTTCTGTAGCATTCTTGGTACAAGTTGCAAAAACCCAGCCCTCAGAACAGCAGGCAGCCATGTGGTGCTCAGATCTAATTAATGAAGCCTGGGCACATCCTTGGAGGGGCCAGCAAGCTTCGGGGGGATAAGTGTGTTGGCCTAGTGTTTCCCGGGAGAGCCTATTCTTTCTCCTGGTGTCTGTCTACTGTTCAGTGTGGGCATCATGGGTGCTGTAGCATTGGCCTAGTGCTGTGTACCCCCACTGTGGTCTCCCTCTGGCTGCCTTAGTGAACTGGTGTTGAGAGTCTGCATGAGAGCCTTAGGGCGCTGTTGCAGTGCAGAAGAACTGGGTCCCCCTGGAAACTGTACAGAGGACCGTCATCCTCCAGGGAGGAAGCCAAAGGACTTTGGCATAGAGCTTGGACTCTAGAATGGAGTAACTGAATGGAGGTAGGCCCAAAGGTTCTGGAAGATAGAGGCAGTCAGGATACCCCTAGTCTGCAGCTACCTTGAGGATAGATTGGTGTGGGGAGACAGCAGCTGAATCACAGAATTCGAGTGGACATTGTAGGCCTACTTCTCAGACTGGGGAACCCTGGATCGTTGTAAGTACTTTGTCTCTGACCCCCGGTTCATGGCAGGACCTGTAATGAGCACATGCTCTGGCAGCACTCAGAGAAATGCAATGTCCACCTGTGTCAAAAGACTGTGTCCTCTTTTGCCTGCAGGGAGCTAGAGGGCCATGGGCTGACCCTGCTGTCAGTGTGCTGCAGGGAGTCTGCCCCGTCAGATGCTGTGCACGGTGCTGGGAGATAACCCGTAACCCTTGTCCCCTGCCACTTCTAGCCAGATGCTCCTGAGTCCTCCCAGAGCATGTCAGCTAAGGCCCAGAAGAGCGTCCTGACCTCTTCTGGGGGTCAGGAAAGGCAGTCTGGGGTCACTGAGATCTGAAGAGTAGGTCCATCTGCCTGTGGAGTGGAGTGGGGTGAGGAGAGCTCCTGAAAGTGGAAACTGCATCTATAGAGGCCCCCAGGAGAGTCCGGACCAGCAGGTTGTGTAAAAGGGGCAAAACCAGTTCAGGCAGGGCCAGACGCCATGTGGCCCTCGAGTCCCAGGGAAGGAATTTGGCCTTTATCATCAGAATGTCCAAGCTCCACGGTCAGAGGCCAGTGCCCAAGGCGCTCAGCCTAGACTTAGCTGTAGGCGCTCTTCTGGGGGTCCAGCAAGGCCCCTCTTGTTCTCCTGGGCTCACTGTGCACTTCCTTGGCCTTACACGGGAATTCCTACGTTCTTCCTGTAGATACATTTGTACAGTGATTTGGGGAACTCTTGTATCACTTTCACCTCTACATAGCCTCCCTCTGGCATTGAAACAAGCTGAATGCCTGTGTTTGGGCTTTTCTTTCCTGCTTGAGGCAGGCTGAAAGAATTGGTTTCCAGCACATTTGTACTGATGAGGTAGAATTTCTGCATGTTTCAGATTGATGCCCTTGCTCAGACCTTCCACAGCTCTGTAGGCCACTGGAGGGGTGATTGAGGCTGGCGCGTTGTCCTGCCGACTCTGTCCTAACCCCCAGTTAACCCAGGCCTGCTATGGGGCTCTCTAAAGAGATGTGTAGAGGGCCCTATGCTCTTGTCCACGTGGACAGTTCTACATTTCACTCGAGATCCAGGGAAGCGCATCTCCTTCTAACATAAACCCTCAGCAGGGGCAGCCATCCTCCCCTCTGAGGAGGTGACTATGCGTGTAGTGACAGTGACGGTGCGGGCAGTGCAGAGAAGGTGGTGTGGAATCATCAGAGCTAACGTCTAACTTTGCTTGAGGAGTTGTTATATGTCCGGCATGGCTGGATGCTGGTTATTTTATTTAGATCTCTAGAAGTCCTGAAAAGATTCTGTTACTTCTGCCTGAGAGATGGGCATATCGAGTGAATCTGAAGGAGGAAGGACCAGCCCTGGATCACTGAGCTTATCTGTAGTAGAGCAAGATTTGAACCCCTGTCTGCACCCACATACTCATTGTTGGATTAACATTACTAATGAAATATTTAGGATTTGTGTAGTTGTTTTTCTTCTGCTAGACCTTGAGCTCCTTGATGTTGCCTTGCCTTTTGCTTTTTGCCCAGCACCCAGCAGGGTGCTTCAGTGTTCTGAAGAAGTGGATGAGTGGACTGACAGGGGTGTATGGATGTGTGTGTGAACCATGAGCACGTTCCCCATGCAGATCCTTTGAGGCCCTGGGGGCAGAGAGAGTGAAGATTCAAGGCCTGCGTGTGATGTGCAGGGCTGGCTTTGCGTGCGTGAGCTGACTGCTGTGTTTTCTCCACACACCCCTGGCCCTGGTACCTGGCTGTGCGGATGGCAGATGTTTGCCGAGGAGGAGGCCGAGCTGACCCGGGAGACCTCCCCAGAGAAGCTGCAGCAGTACCGCCAGGTGCACCTCCTGCCGGGCCTGCGGGAACAGGGCTGGTGCGCCATCACCGCCAACCTCTTGGCACTGCCCGAGCACGATGCCCGCGAGAAGGTGCTGCAGGCCCTGGGTGCCCTCCTGGCCACCTGCCGAGACCACTACCGTGAGGACGCCCAGCTCAGCAGGACGCTGGCCGGCCTGCAGATGGAGTACCAGGCACTGGCTGCCCTGGAGCTTCAGGAGGGCGACGATGAGGGTTACTTTCGAGAACTGCTGAGCTCTATCAACAGCTTGCTGCAGGAGCTGAGATGAGGCCGCCCTGCTCACACCAGGACTGGCAGCGGTGCTGTTTGTGAGGCTGAGGGGTACCAGCTGGATGGGGACTCTGCAGGAGAAGGGCACGAGGTCACCTGGACAGTGCCATGATGATCATTAAATGGAGCCATGACACTGTCTGCCTACTTTGTGTATCTTAGTATGCCCCTCACAAGTTAACTCTTCCCCCACTGTCCCCAGCAAGTAGCTAGGTGAGTGTGGAGTGACATCCTGGGCATTCAGCCCAGAGTGGCCCCCGTCACAAGCCTCATGGGAAGGGTCTGGGCTCTGGAATTTAAATCCTCTGGCTGGGACCCAGCTTTTCACACCTAGGAGCTCTGTGACCTTGGGAAGTCATTTAACTCTCTGAACGTGTTCATCTGCTAAGAGAAGTGCTCTTCCTTGAGAGAAAGTGTGCATAAAGCGTGGGGTGCCTAAAAGAAATAGAATGGTGCCCTCCCTTCCTGACTTGGCCATAAGGAAAGGTGGGGCTCCTAGCTGCTCACTCCGTCCCGTGTCCAGACCACTGGCAAAAATCTCGAGGCTGTCCCATACAGGGGGTGGGGGGGATGCTGTCAACTCAGGCAGCTGATGGACTTGGTGGCCACAGGACACTGGTAGACCGTGACCCTGGAGTTTCCGGGGGTGAGCCTCTCTTTTGGGAGAGAGGGGATTTTGCTAAAGCTGGTGATGGGAACCCTACCAGCCTGGCAGGGCAGGGTGCCTTTGGGTGGGTATAGAGCAGACCCGTGCCCTTGCCCCTCACCCCGTCTGCTGGGAGCTGGGCCAACCCCAAGGAGGAAGCATCCGAGGCGGGGGCAACTGAGCCTGGCAAGTCCTGGCCCCCACCCCAGAGAGGCAGAGTGCCAGGCTCACAGCCTGCTGCAGGTTGCCACGGCAACCCTAGCTCCAGGCTTTCCTGATTTGGATTCTAGTGTGTTTGTTTTTCCGCCTTTCCAGTGCACCAGAGGGTAGGTCCTGCTGGTGCAGCCAGCCCCGCCCAGCTTCTAGGAGGTAAAGTTGAGAAGGTGGATTCTGGTCAGGCCTTTCCCCTCCCTGCCTCCAGGCTCGAGATTTGGAAACTCCAGCCTCATCCAGGAGAGAGGGAAACTCCGGCCCCAGAAACTTGGATAAGCAGTGGCCTCTCTTGCTCAGCCTCACGCCCTCCCTTGACACCTCAGGCACACACCTGGAGGCTGAACAACACAGAACCCCTTGGGCCCAGTGGGGATTACCGACTATCTCTGTTTTTAACCCCTTTAGCAGCCTTTGAAGGAGGTAAGTACAGGTGCAGAGATCACGGGCTCAGAGAGACTGAATGATCTGCCTGAGGCCATGGAACCTGTACTGGCAGAGCTGGGTTTGGACTAGGATGTGAAAAGCCTGTGACTGACAAGAGAATGGTTTTTAATTTGATACGTAGTAGGATGGGAAGAGAGCTCTGGTGGCCTAGTGGAAGGAAGCTGCGCTGTAATCCTGAAGGCACACAGTTCAAAGTCACCAGCTGTCTCATAGACAGTCTTCTCTGTCCCAGTCTCCTCCTGTGCGATTAACTGCCTCTGAAAACCCACTGGAGAGTCAGCTGTAGGTTAGTTCTGACTACAGTATACAACAACAGTAGGACAGGAGTTCCTCTTGAGGCCAGGAGAGAAGTAGAGCAGCTGTGGCCATGGCAGAGCAGGACTTGGCTTTGGCCAAGGTCAACAGACACTTAAGAAATGGTGTCAGCGGGCTCTACAAGTGACTTGAGAAAGGGGGAACGTGAGGCATGGGGTGAGACGCCCGCTGGAGTGGGGAGGGCTGGGGCTGCTCTGGGCCGCAGCCTCGCAGAAGTGAACGCTGTGAGCTTGCAGGGCAAGGGCATCCCTTGTATGAGGGCTGGCAAGAATGTGGGGAGCTCCAGATGGCAGCTGGGGAACCCAGAGTTCTTGCATCTCCGAGCACTAGGGTCTGATCAGGGGTCCTCATGAAAAGAAAGATGCTAACAAAAGTCTAACTGAAACCCCCATGCCTTTTCTGCCCCAGGTGTGCTGCACAGAATGGTCAGAACAGAAGACAGACCTTGACCTTTGGGCCACAGGCTCTGGGAGGTCCCTGAAGCCAAGAGCATCTGGAGATCACAGAGTGGGGCCGAGCCAGGGCTGCGATGCTGAGCCCCAGGTCCGGTAGTGCAGCTCCCGGCCATCCTCTCCACATGCACACGGACAGGACATTGGGGAGGGTGGGGTGGTACTCAGACCCCAGGCCAGCCTTTGGTGGCCAGTCTTGTATTCCTCAGCTTCCACTAGGTCAGCCCTGGAGGCCCTCTGAGGAGACAGGCCACAGTATGGCGTGGACTTTGGGCTTTGACTGTGTAGTACAGGTTCTCGTTTCATGACATCCTTCATCTCTGCTGTCTGCAGGTCTGGGAGAGCCCTCTCTTTGTCTTCCCTTTGCATGCTTTCTTGGGAGCTGTGATCAAGGGGCGTGGCCTGTGCTGGAAGTCAGGAAGAGATGCTGGGGTTCGGGGAGCAGTAGTCATCAGAATGAGTGAGGTGACCTCTCACCCCTGTCTTATGCTGGGGCCCCAGGGCCTGATGGAAAGGACTAGGAGGGCTGTGGCTGCTGATGTCTGAGGCTCGAGCCGGCCGTTGATTTTTGCTCTTCCATTGCCTGTACCAAGTCCTCCTGTGGGAAGATGGCAGGGATGGGGGTTAGGTGGTGGCTCCCTTTGGGGATGCAGTTGAAGTGTGGCATGAATTGTGAGAATTGAGCCACTGAAACTGAAGAGGGCCCTCACCTGGGTGAAGAGTTGTCTGGAAGACAAAGCCTCCCAGAGCAGGGATAAGCGAGCTGAGGCCTGAAGGATGCTTGAAGGATGGGCCAGATGAGAGTTCAGTCCCAAGAAGGGCTTTTTTAGTGAGAATGAGTGGTCCATTTGAGAAACCTACAGATTCGTAATGGGGAGCGCTGGTGGCCTGGTAGTAAGGAGCTGCACTGCAATCCCAAAGGCAGGTAGTTTGAATCCCCCAGCTGCCCCACAGGAGAAAGTTGAGCTGTCTCCTCCTGGGGGATTGCTTCCAACCTCTGAAAACCAGCTGGAGAGTCAGCTGTGAGCAGTAGACTCCATGGTGCATAAGCACAACAGTGAGACAGTGACTTCGTTGTAGTGGGAAGAAGTGAGGAGGTGAGGGCCCAAGGAGGATGGGTGGAGCTGGTGGGATTAATGGGCTCTAGTTCAGCACCTTGTCAGCCTTGCCAAGAAGCGTGTCTCCATCCTAGTGGAGGGCGGTGGGCATTCTCTTGGCTGCAGCTCATGTATTTATTCAGGAAAAGTATGATTTAGTACTACTGTGAGCCAGGCGTTGCTCTGGGGCACTAAATGATAACTAGAATGGAAAGAGCCCCTGCCTTTCTGTCCATCAGGGGAGCTGAGGCAGATGTGAGTGCTAAGAGCAATGAAGAAAAAGAAAGCAAGATGTGAGGATAAAGAGTGTGAAAGGCTGATGTTGTCGATCAGGTAGTCAGAGAAGATCAGGAGACAGTGTGACAGTGACAGGAAGCTGAAGGAAGTGTGTCAGTGACCCACGGGGGCACTAGGGAAGTGCTTTTTTGACACGGGTCCTGAGACAGGAACATGGCTGCAGTGTTTCAGGAAAAGGTGTGAAAGCCAGTGTGCCAAGAATAGAGCCAAGGGCAGCGTAGGCAGTGAGGTGTAGGGTAGGCTTCGGGGGAAGGGCGTGGGTGTGCTTGCTGTCTAGAGACTACAGATTTCCTTTGTGATGGGACCCAGAGGGGAGACCTGCCACGGCTTACATCTTAAAACACACAGTTGTTGATTCAGTTGCTGTTGATTCTTGGTGAATCTCTGCTGGGTTCCTGAGCCTGTAAATCTTCACAGGAGCAGACGTGTTTCCGCTGTCTCCTGTTGGCTGCCCGAAATGCCAGCCTGTCCATTAGCAGCCCAGAACGTGCTGCACTGCACCACCAGGGATGCATTTTAACAGGCTCACGTTGTTGCTGTGTGGTGAACAGATTACACAGTGACAAGGGTGGAAGCGGGGACCTGTTCCAGAATCCAGGTGAGAGTGGACAAGGTTTGATCCAGGATGACAATAGAGCTGTTGAGAAGTGATCAGATTCCAGATGGCTTTTAAGGGGAGAGCTGCAAAGATTTGCTGAGGGCCTGGATGTGGCTTATGAGGAAACAGGAGCCCTATTTCAGGGTCTGAGCGGATGATTGCTCGTAGAAGACAGGGGAAGATTGAGGCTTTGGAGGACATTTGTTTTGGACGTGTTTATATTGAGAGGTCAATTGGACATTCAAATAGAGCAACTGGGATCTGGAAAACACCTGGAGAGAGAGGGACATGGGAGCAGGGTGAGCTGGAGCCAGCGCGTGTTGGCACGGGGCTGTGAGCTGATTGTTAAATACAACCATGACTAAAAATTAAATTCTATGAACTTACAGCTAAGCCACCTACATTAGGAACAGGAGTAATTTTAAAAAATCTGGAGGGGGGCAAGAAACTAAGCCCAAAGAAAGCAAAAGAAAAATAGAAAAGCAGAAAGCAATAAAATGGAACATAAAGCTGAAGGGGGGGAATCAATTAAATAATAAATTGGTAAAAGATGCAAATTACCAGTATTAATAATCTACTTCCTAAACCACATGCCTCTGGAAATTATGAACTTTGGGAAATGATGATAGTTATAGAAAACCTTCAGGCCTTTTGTCCATGAATCGTGCCTGACTCCACGGCAGTCAACAACAACAATAATGCCAAGGATGGCAATACAGACTTAACAAGTATTAAAATGATAAGAAAGAAATATTAAAAACATGACATGGTTTAAAGTCAGGGATATGCACACCCATGTTTATTGCAGCATTGTTCGCAATAGCAAAGAGCTGGAAAAACCCAAGTGCCATCAACATATGAATGGATAGAGAAGCTGTGGTATATTCATACAATGGAATACTATGCAGCATTGAAAAACAAGGAACTCATGAAATA